AATCGCATTATTACTTGTAACTTTTAGGGATTTTACTGAAGAAACACTTAATATTTTTAAGGGATTATTAGACGATTATAAAAAATTGTTCTATCTTATTCCAATATGAAGCAAATGCGTCAAAGAATATGATGTAAACGCTAAGTACGCATGAATGTATTGTGACTCTACTCATACTAGGTGGACTGTATATCAAATGCTTCTTGGTTAATGAAAGTATGCTGGTCTGCAAAATTTGTACACCATTTTCGTTGTTGAGGGGGAGGGGGCAAGGTTTACACTTGTTGGATATTTTGAGGATTTTCTGAAAATGTTTGGGATATTTAGAGGATTTTGGAGGTGTATTCAAAGAAAATAGTATGAATTTCCGGATAGATTTTAACTAATTATCTAAAATGCCGAGAGCAAAACACAGTGAAATGATTAAGGCTAATCAGTTAGAGGCGCATTTACTAGAAGTTTCTGATTATTTGTTTATATTGACTGACCCCATCTATTGAATACAATTTTGAATATTATTTATGTAAGCCTATAGCAGGATAAGTTTCCTCTCAAAATTTCATCCAATTTATTCTTTGTGCAATTGTTTTAATCACAAAGTTTAAAAACAACATGGTTTGGACAGTGTTAAAAGATATAGGTGATTGCTGACATAATCGTGTCTAAACAGAAAACGTGTGATATTTTCCTCGTTATCCGAATCCTAACAGCTTCGATTAACACTCTGCACAACGTTGGCCAAGGAATATCTTCAGCAACAATTTTAGCGGTCAGGTTGAAACATCTAACGGCGTTTATCAAAGAAAGGCCTAAAAGTTATTGTTATACGATTACGTCTAATTTTATAACGTAGGGTCTAAAGCTGCTGATTTTTTGTTTATAATGTTTATAATTTATTATTCCTCATGTGCAGAACAGCATTTACATGGTAATCGACTTTTAGATTTCAGGTACTCCTTGTGCCATATAATGTATAAATGACTGGAGATTGTACTGAGAATTTCCAAGGGAGTGTAGAACCTAGTCCGGGATTGTAATGATTTTGCTCTACTTCATTCATTTTTAATTGGTCCAGAAAATTCGTGCCACCAACCAAGTGCAAATTCCTAATCTTGTAATAAAACTCCAAGCTCCTATTAGAGACTACTATAATTCATAACTGAATTGAAAATAAGTATTGCAAATAGTGGATTCAAGCTTTATTGTTTGCATCTCTATTGTGTTCACTGAGTTCATTAGCATTAATGGAATAGGACTTCATTTTAGACTATTAATACTGCACGGAGTGTCAGCAGATTAAGGTAAGTATGTATATAGTTGAGAATCCGAATAGTCCGTTTGTTTAACACAGCCTCTGAATACCCTGAAAACGATGAAATCGGTAAAATTAATGGTTCGGGAGACTCTCTCTGGGTGTAAAACTGAATTGAATTAGGATAACTACTTGGCATTGAGTTAGTCAATAACATTTTGAACTTCAGGTTTAAAAAAGTTTGATCAAGAGTAAAGTAATATGATATCCAAAAAGAATTAACGTCTCAGTAGTTGAGAGCGCACTGGTTTAAAAGGCAAGTTTTTCGTCCGTTGTACCTTGTTTTCGAGCGCCTCATTTATGGAGCTCTTACGGCGCATCGGCGTCACTCCAAGAGTTCCCCCCCGGCGCGCTAACAGCAACTTTTATTCACTGATTTCCTTCTTTTTTTTTTTACTCACGCAACGGACTTCATCGAAGAGGAGGGACTCTATAAAGTTGTTTCAAACTGTAACTACCACTGGCTTAAGTGATAGAAAGTATTGCATATGAGTTTTTTTGCATTATTGGTATTCGCGTTTGCACCTTTTTTGTCTCGATTAACATTGGAGGTATTTGAGTCCATTTGTGACTATTCAAAGAAGCCGCCATTTCAACTGTACTTGAAATCTCAACTCTGATAAAATCAAAATCAATACCTTGCTCTCTAATAAACGCTTTAGCTCAGAATGTTATCAGATTAATTGATGCAGGCGGTCGAGAATGTGAACGCCCTACTTGGAGTAAATTCAGCTCCTATGATTTCCACTACCTTTAAAACGACAATTTCTGTAATATCTAGGAAATCTGAAAGATCCTCTCTGGTGTAACCCTAATCTCGTGCCCAAACCTTACCATGTAACTGCAACTGAAATAACCACCTAGCTTTAACTATGGTCGTAACGGTACATGTAAGCTAGTGAATCGAAATCCATTGCAAAATGTTGTTCTAAAACCCACCTTCCATTGTTCAAAGCCTCGAAATTGGGCCAGGCGACTCCGTTAAAAATTCCTATTCGCTAGTTCTACACGCCGCATATTCAATCGCATTTTTATAAAGTCAAGGAAGGCTCGAAAATTACAATTTCAAATATTTAAGATAACAGTTCTTCAAACGATGCATGCTAAAATATAAAAACAGGACTAACTTATTAAATGCCTTTTTAGAAAGAAAAGTTCCTATTCTTTCTTTGAATTGTATTCAAACTAGAAATACTAATAGAATTCAACTCGGAAGACGATTCCAAAGCCGAGGGGGTAGCACTACTAAATGATCTATCTCCCAAAGTATTCTTGGTTATCACCTTTAGAATGCCAATAGCATACCAGACACGTGAAGGCGTCATAGATTATACATGAACGGTGGTAATATAGATATTAAATTACTCTAAACTCAGGCGCCATGATATGCAATATCTTAAATATAATGATCATTATCTTATATTCTAGGCGGTAGCAAACAGATAGCTTGTGCAATTTGCGAAGCAAAGTGTGATGTGACCTGATTTCGGGACACAATAAACCTGGCGAGCACATGCATTCATGTTACCTTGCAGTTTGGAGAATGTATGGCCGCACTTCGCCGAACCATCTGAATAGGCTATTGCAATAGTCAAGGCTGCTTTAAGTGATAAATGCATGAATAAGCGTGTCAAATGCTGTGTCTAGATGTAGCGGTACATATAGATGACAATTTACATATAGACAACAATAAACTTCTTGTAGAAAAGGGAAAGTTTATGGTGTGCCATAACATTTCAGTTTTCCCAGGGTGTGATAACCTTCCTCAAGGCTGTCAGAACCAGTATCACCAAACCTCAACTGTTTCACTGGAAGATCTTTCTTTTCAGTGAGGAGACCGCTGTCTTCACGCCAGACATCGTCATTCATATCACAGTTACAGCCAATACTGGGGTCTGCACAGGATTTGGTCATTCCACATGCGCACTTGTCACTGTCAGGAGATGCTCCGCCCCAGTAAGTCATGTTTCTAGAATCACGTGAGACCCACCACGAATGTCTTTCCTTTAATAGTAGTGCACCATGACACTCGTACTTGATAAACTGTTCACAGTGTGAGGAGACTCTGGTGAGACTCGCCAGCTGGGAAAAACTCGCACCTGTGTAATGAATGTCACGTGAGTAACTACCATGGGGCTCATGTCCATTCACGTGTGTTCTGCTTTCACTGTCGTGACTGATGACTGTCACGCCAACTCCATTCTTGTCACTCATGTCACAGTATGCTGTAAATGGTGCTAAAGGACCCTCGCCATCGGTATCAATGACGTAATCTCTACTTGTATTGCTGACGTATTTTCTTATCGCAGAACACGAAGTGATGTTCAGCGGATTGTTAATTTTGACTTTGGTTTCTATTGCCGTCAGAGCATTAGCTGCTCTACAGGTGTACGATCCTTCGTGTGATTTCTTGATGCTGTTTATTACCAGTGTTCCATTCTGTAGAACATTTGACCCTGCAGGTAGAAAGGACTCGCCATCCTTTGTCCAAGTGATGAAAGGTCTCATGCCGCTCTCGGCCATACAAGGAAGACGAACACTTGATCTAATAATAGGAGTTAGTTCTGGTGGAGGACGAACTTTGAACCTCAGAGGAGAAAATACTGTGAGTTGAGCGGTGTCTGCTGCTGATCCAAGAATGTTCGCTACTTTACAGATATATGTTCCACCGTCCTGTCTTGTCAAATTGAAGATTTTTAGTGTTCCGTTCTTGAATGTAATTCTGTATTTAGGCAAACTACCCACTGACTTGGACCACTTGAAAATTGGACGCGGCCGACCACTAGTAGTGCATTGGATGGTGACGTTCGTTTCTTCTTCAGCTATTACATTTTTGGATGTCACCGGGATTTTAGGTGCAACTGAAGAAAAAAATAGAAAAGATGGAAAAAAACCTGTCATCAAATTTAAAAACGGATGATCAAGGTAATTCCCTTGAAATCTATGTTACATACAGACTTTCTAAACTCAGTTTTTGTGACGAGGCCAAGCGTGTCATTTCACTGAATATCTTCACGTAGGAAAACAACTGGAAAAAATTGCGAACGAGAATAACGCGGGACGACTGGGTAAAGATTCCACTTTACAAGAAGAGAGAGAAAAGACGAAAGGCTCTATTTCAAAACATGTCTGTTGCCGATGTGGAAAATCTCGGGTTAAAAAAGACTGTGCTGAAATACATTTAGCATGTTAAAAGGGAAAGAAAAGTGAAAGCTAAACTAAGTGCTTTCTCTAACAAGTAAAATTAAAATGGAACAGGCATTGATTGAATCCCTCCACAAACATTAAAATTGTCATTTAAGTGCAGTGATTTGTCCCCCTACCCTTCATTACGAAATAAGAAGCCAATAAAGCTTACACTGCACTGTTAATTTAACTGAGGCGTTCACTTGTCCAAGCAGACTTTGCGCTTTGCAGGTGTATACTCCATCGTCCTCAGCTTTCACGTCCTTCACAATTAGGGCACCACTGGACTCTACCACGTGACGTCCAACAGGGAGAGACGAATTAATCTTGTACCACGTGACTGATGGCTCTGGGTTACCATTCACTGTACATTTCAACGTGGCTGTCTGAGTTTCATTGACTGTCTTTCCTACAGGACGCTTCAGCAGAGATGGCGCCGAGAGGGACTGGCCCCGCTCACCTTTGGTACCTTTCACGCCGGGCGGGCCTGACGGTCCCTTAGGTCCGAGGTCTCCCGGTTTTCCGACGTCCCCCTTCATTCCTTTCGCTCCTTGTGCTCCTACTGGCCCATGTTTACCAGTGAGTCCATGTGGCCCAGGTTTCCCTGGTTTCCCTGGAGATCCCCGTTTCCCACGGGTTCCCTGTCTACCCCGCCTCCCTTGGCTTCCTTTGGGTCCGGGGCGACAAAGTGTATGATCTTTAGCACAGACTTGTTTTTGAAGCAGTCGTAGTTCTCGTTTGACCAGCATTTGTACATCGGAATATGTTATGGTTGAATTTTGTTGTGAATTACCAGGCGAAGAGCGTTTTTGTCGTTTTGGGTTAGCTTCCTTACCATCTAAAAAAATAGAAATATTCAAATTTTAGATGTCGGCCTGGCTTACTCCGCCAAATTCCAAAACAAAAGTTAAAAGGTCAAGATCATTTTATCCAAGTCTACTAATAAGTAATGTCAATACTTAATTTTACCATAATCTGCAAAAATTATAGATAATTTTACAAATTCAGATAGTAGTGATAACAATAATAACGATAATAATAGCAATAATGGTAACTTCCCTATGCCACAGAGTCGAGCTTTCGAAATCAACATTTTTGAAACGTTGCGAAGCTGTGCAATGTTTTCTTAGTACACAGAGATACTCTCCATCAGCTTTAACAGCTCTTGTGCCGCATCAAGAGATTAAAGGTAGTTTCTAATTTCTTGGTCGCACTTTACAACACCCGGCGCACTTTTTTTTTTACAACATAGTCGCACTCTGTAAGAAAAGGCTGTCGTACTTTGTAATAAACTTGGTATAGATTGGTTGCGCCATCAAAATATGCATCATCAAGTAACGAAACAAAAGAATACCAGATTACCTTGAGTTGTTCGAGATGTACTCCCCGGTTCTTTATCCTTATTACGCCATCCCATATCGTTTTGCTGAACTTTCCGAAGGATTTCTGATTCCATCTTCTTAAAGAACTCTGACGAGTCTAATATCAGACTATGATTTTCTTGTATTCTGAGTTCGTGGTGAATTAGCGCGATAAAACACAAAAGAGACAGTAGCAAGTCTGACCCGGAGTACAGGCGATCTAGTGTTCGTCTTTTGTTCCTCTGCTTGTCTGCTTTTTCCGTTTCTTTCATCTTTACAATGTTCATAAAAATGTTCGGGAATCATGCAGAACTAAACTTGATCAGTTTCCTGCAGACGGTTCTCTTGGGCTCACGAGGTAGTGTTAAACCGTTGTAGGAAGTTGACCTCGACGATATTTATACGTTTACAAAATTAACTCTGAGGAAACAAATTCGGTTGTATTGACTTCCTTTAGTGCTGTAATATCTTGTGCGTCGACGAATTACGACGTCTTCAGCTTGCAAAAAAGTTCGTGCTCGAGTGAGACGGGAAGTCTGTATTACCTGAAATGAATTCAAGCCTCGGAAGAATCTCTTCAGAACAGAATAGAATTTAAGTTCTCTGTTCTACACATAACAGCAAAAATTCCCTAATGCAGTATAATTTCGCTCAGGAAGATAAGAAATGTTCATCACTTGCAGAAAGTTCGTGATTGAGTATAACTAACGAGGAAGTTTATTCAGTCCTAGCTTGAATGAGGTCAAATGTATCATCCTAGAACAATTTACTGATGTGGAAATCTCTCTCGTTCGTGTTTGAGTACGACGGGAAGTTTATCAGTCTTTCCTTAAGTGAGGTGGGAGTTATATTTCAACGCTTTTTAAGAGCTAATGGTGTTTAGAGTTCGCTGTTCCGCATGCGACAAATAATTAATTTCTGTTCGGTTGCTTTACTTTCTGTCCTTTTCACTGCTTTACTGTTACAAGCGAAAGAAATCAAGACGTCATCACAAGGTTTGTTTAACTTTTAGTTTAGCGCATCTGCACCTCAGGCAAGGATTTATTCAGTTATTATTTGATAAAATAAGGCTCGTGATACACTAATGTCACGCATAAAGCTGCTTAAAAACGCCATAAGCTCGGAAGTGTCTGAGGGGCAACGAAAGGGAGAGTGTCCACTGCCGTTACAGCTTTCGGATCTGTTACATCCGGGTTTTCCCCATCCGTGACATTATATGTTCATAAAATATAATTTAAGTAGCAACACAGCGATACGTTTCTGAAATTCATGGGAAAAGTGTTATCATCTAACCTATAGGTCCGTCAAACATATCATCTCAGATCGATACCCCCTACTTCAGTATCTGTCTGTATGTACTTTGTGTTAATTCGAAGAAATGATCCTTAAACCGGCCTCATTTAGTACAATTGCTCGGAGGCGTACTTGCTTAGTTCTTATTAACCGAGCGGGAGGTCTGCATGGGAGAATCTTGACCGAGGTCGCCAGTACAGACCGAACGCAGTGAGGTCTGTACCAACGACCGAGGTCAAGATTCTCCCATACCGACCGACCTTGCTCGGTTAATAAGAAGTTTATTATATGGCGGTGTTTTATAAGCCAATTTTTTTATATTCTTTGTATCCTTTTTTTCTAGACCGGTCTAGATGCTGGTCTAGAAGGGAAAATCGAGACCGCTTTCAATATTGATTTCAGCCAATCAAATTCGTGAATTTGGTAGTTCCCAGTCCTTGTGAGACACAGTCATGTAATAAATATATCTTATTAGACGTTTTGTTGTGTAGTATCTAGATATCCTTCTCAAAAGCAGCTTGATCAAATCTTTTGAAGGTGCGGGCTCTGACTATCTTTGAAGGCGGCCTTTTTATTCTGGACCATATTGTAGCAAGAACCAGCTTATGATCTGAGATTCCCAACTCAGTTGTTTTAATAGCTCCCTTGATAATCTCCGGCTTGCGTGTAATAACCAAGTCAATCAGTGTTTGTGTGTCACTTGTAACTCTTGTTGGCTGGTTCCTATCGTTCATTACGCTATAGCTAAACTGTAGGAGTATATCTTGTAATATTCTACCGGCGTATGATGTAACACCCTTGTAGCTACGAAAATAGTCTGAATTAAAATCACCGACAAGTACCACATTCCTGTGCCCAAGCCACACTCTCTCCAGACAATCACAAAATCGTTCGTAGAACTGGAAGTCAGATGGAGGTCGATAACAATTTCCTAATATCAACGCAGACGAATTATGCATAATTTTGATCGAGATTAATTCAACATCAGGGGGGTCTAGGGATTTGAGCCTTGAATAACTAATATGGCTCGCAATGTAAATCAAGCAGCCACCTCCATCCTGTCCCGTATTTCTGTCCCTTCTAACAATCTTATAGTTATCCACATGTAATTGCTTGTTCGATATTCTCGCGTCTAAAAAGGTTTCGGTAATTGTTAAAATGTCGAAACGACACACTTTAAGTAAAAGCTTGATTTCATCCATCTTATTCCTCAAGCTTCGAACATTCAATTGTGCTATACTGAAATTATTTGAGCCACGGTTGAGTAAATAATCTTCACCTTCCGTAGATATGCCTCGCCATCCAGGACTTAGTTCTACATCACCAGAAAGTAAAAGTATCTGTGTAGTAGCCACAGAGTTTGCAAAGTACAAAACTCTGCCAGAACTCCAGGAACCCTTGAGTTTACAAAAACCTCCAGAAGTCGCCGGCTTGAAGTTGTAGTCGCCTGCAGGATTCCGAAGACAAATAACGCCCTCAATTGCAGTATTTAGTGTTTCTGGTACAATCAAGGAAGTGTACTGATGAAGAGGATACTTAGCTGCATTACGGATGAAATTTAGATGCGTTAAAACCAAGCCTAAAAATGGAAAACTCTTTGAACCTTGGAGCTACAACAAAGGGTGACCGCCATTATGCTAATCAGGTCAAACATGTTTAGATAACAATATGTTATCTAAATATGTTTAGATAACAAATTATCTTTTAAAGAACATATAAATATCATGTTGAAGAAAGAGTTTATTCTAAGATAGGCGCACTTCGCCGCCTTAAGCGCTTACAGTACCGGAAAATACCATATTAATTTTTTACAAGAGTTTTGTATTATCACATTTTGAATACTGCAACTCTTTTCTTATGGGTATAAGTAAAACACTCAACAAGAAACTGGAAGATGCGAACTATTATGGTCTACGAACTATAATGAATATAGGGAAAACTACTGATTATGAATCAATCCTTAGGATGGTAAACATGAATACATTAGAACATAGACGTATGGAACAATCTTTGATGATATTTTTTAAATGTTTCAGGGAGAATTGTCCAGACTATATAGCCAATTTATTCAAACCTCGAGTTACACCATATAATCTTACAAGTAGGGGTCTAAACGTAATACAAACTTCATGCAGATTCCTTCATGGCTCATATGCGTATATGATCTCACGTATTTGGAACCAGTTACCATCTGATGTAAAAAATACATCTAATGCATTATCCTTACGAAGACTTTTAACTAAGTTAAATTTTATCGGCTGTCAATGCAGTAGGGCCTTTGACTTGATTTTATAGATGTATATTATTCCTAATTCAATTGGTGTTATTACTATTTTAGCTAGTACAATTTTAGCTTGTTGTTAAACACTTTTATCGTGAGCCTCTGGCTCGGGGGATTGGGAGACCACCCTCTGTGTATTTTTTTGGACATTAAATAAATTATCTTATCTTATCTGAATTTGGCCATCCTAAACACGCGCAAACAGGGTTGAAATTAGTCATGATTCACTTGACTCGCTTGATCATGCAGCTTATCAACTAAATAGGGCATTATTTGAATTATATGATTAGTGTCTTGCCAATAGGCTTACACCTCATCCGAAAAAGAGTGAAGCTATGCTGATATGTAAGACACGTATCATAGGCCCTATTTTACCTGTTACTATGGGAGACTTTTATGCTAATTGGGTTAAGAGATCGCGTTTATTAGGAGTAACTGTCGATGAAAGTTTAACATGGTCACCACATTTGATGAATGGTAAAAACAGTTTCGAAAATAAGCTTAACTTATTAAGAAAATCAAGATTCTTACCAAAAAGTGAATTGGAGCAATTTTATTTCAGTGTTAATCTTCCTGGCGTCATTTACAGTATTGTAACGTGGGAAAGCTGTTGTAATCTTGAGTTATTTGGGGCGATTGAAAAACTTCACAGCCGAGCGGCAAAGTTAATATATAATTTAAAGAAAGACACCNCCTTGAAACTGCTCATAACTAAAATCAAACTTTTTCTAGTATTTTACTAGTCAAGATCATCTACAAGTTCTGATTTTTCTTTCGGTGTAAATGTGAAAGTACAAGGAACTTTTCACAGTGCCTCGACCTGTAGACTCATTTGTTTCATTCAATTTTATTCTCTAATACGCGCACGATTTTTTTTTGTTATGTTATGCCAAAGCAGATGAGACGAAAAACTTTATTCATTCATTCTGCGCACATGTCTCCTTCAAAGTCTATAACTACAAAATAAAAACCCTCTCTCTTCCCACAGTAAAGCAAGAACACGAGTAAAATAACCTAAGGATTTATATTTACTGATTGTATCCGTTTAAGAGAATTAGCCCCTGAATACGGGTCGTCCTGTAGTTTACACTTAAAAAGATATTCTGTGGCACCCATCACTTTAGGGCTTTCCATAAGATGCACCAAATATTTAAAACAGATGCTCAAAATTTCTCAAAAATCTATTCGCGTTACATTACATATTGTCTACAAGCGTTAATTACCCAGCTATGAAATACCTTTTTTTCTCATTGTTTCTTGACTCTTGATCATTAAATGGCATGGTTAACGTAGTGAAGTAATCCTTAGTAATCCTCTTGTGCAGTACCACTTATTTTTACTCAAACAAGCTATTGATCTTTCCGTTAACATCCGGTTGTCAATAAATTGTTTATATCCGTGGGAATAGTTAATCCTATCATGCCATGGTGTCTGAGAAATAACTACGAAAGCCTTTTAGAGGTGTTGAAATTTCTACCGGATAAGCCCTCAGTTATTTGAACTTTGGAGAAGTTCTCTCAAATTCTCTCAAATTCTCTCAAAACTGTGTTTGAATGCCCTACTCAATTGCCGGATTTGATAGATGAATATTTTTTGTAAAAGGCAAGATCAGCGACCTACACTTTCTATACCCATTGATTAACAACTCGACTATCCGAGATTTAAAATCTAGACCTTGTGGACCAATGTTTTTTTGTTTTTTTTTTAGCCATCCGTTCGTAAAGAGAACTCTTTACCTTTACCAGGCGTTTAAAACAAATACAATACGCTTGTTCCGCTGGAAAGTTTTTCCCACCCCACTCAGGAAAGGCTTATATTCCCCACTCCCCGGGCACAGACGATAGTCCTACACTCTGGAGAATGTTGAAGCTTCAACTGACCAGCGCATTAGTGAAGCCATCCACTTGACATTTACAGCTCAGAAGCGATCAGTTGAACTATATAAAGCATTCGGGATTCAAAGAAGTTTTCTACGCACTTACGGCATGTTGAATCCACTAAGACGTCAACAGCAAGATTATTTTAGAATTACTTCTTTAGACAAGGGAGTCATCAACAGCAGTCAAACTACTGTATTGCAATGTTTTATTGCCGTTTATGATAAGAGTCACTTTCTCTTACTGCGCTCCAGTCTTCGAGCAGCTATACTCTTTCATCTTGGATAAAATTTTAGTTAAACGCTGAAGAATGTTTAGATCATCTGTTTTTACGTAGTANGACCAATTACTGACGCATGGTTAGTTCGAACTAAGTCAAAGTTGATGTTTTTCTTCACGTAAACGAAACGTGCGTAAGTCGGTTTCTTCGTTTTCCGTTTACAGCCCCAGACAGAAAAGAGTTGAAGAAATCAAGTATTTTGACCGGAAAGGCTGGAAATTTAGCTTTGTACGAGGTAACTATACTAGGCTTTTTTTCTACTGAACCGTTATTTGTTTTTGTGTGTACTTCATTATCTCGCACCGCATGCCCACTGTTCATTTCAAACGCCTCTTCTGATCTTTTATCTCCTTCTACGAACAGGATGAAATTCACAAACGACCAAAGATTTCGACGCTTTTAGAGAGTTTGTCCAGATACGAAGCTGTTGCATCTCCGCAACAAGACGACGATGAAGGAGAAGCGAAAGCGGCCACAACTACTCAGGTATGATATTCATGTAAAAATAATTCGAACAAAGCGAGTTACTAACCATGTTGAAGGACCAATTACTGACGCATCGCTGAGTCTTAAGAAGTTTATGCAAATTCGTTTTGGCTTTGGAAACATAATAAATTATTTATAAAAACATTGTTTTGATGGGTCGAAAGTTTGAATTGTTTGTATTTTAAGTACATAATTACATATCAATTAAAAATATAATGAAGGTCAAAGACTCTCGACCTTTGAAAATAGAGCACAGTAAACCGCCATGTTTTGTCTCGCTGTTATGACAGACGCAACCGAGGATAAGCCTATTTTCATTATTTAGTATGTCTGCGGGAGTCTAGCGCAATTTGAATCAGCTATAAGGTCCACATATATTTATTAAAACATAGTGTGCCCTTTATTCAAGAACGTATTCTCTATCCAATTAGAAATAATTTGCGAAGTGAAGGTGGAGTGTAGGGTATAGAGTAGGAGACTGATTCAGCCCTCCACAAAATGTGGAGCACTTGGCTTTTCATTGGGCTCATTATTAATATTTCACACTGGGAAAGTGCTGTGGTCTGGCATTTTGGAACAGTGAGTTCTCAAAAATGTAAGGGATGCGCCAGGTTTTCTGTTTTGTATATGAGACCAATATTTTGCAGCACTACCTTCTAGCATCATTGTACAACCTTTTGTTCCTTTCAATTATGCTACAAAAATTGTGCTATACCAGTAGCCAATTGCAGTCTTTGACTGTCTATTTTTATTTGTAATTGTATCACCACCTGTGGAACTGAATTGCAACATGGAGAGTGTAAAAGAAAGTCCAGGATTGCATTAATGTTCTGCAACTAGAATTCTTTTTTCTAGCTCTATATCAGAATGCTCAATAATGACTTTGGTATCAGTGGGGTATACAATTATTTGAACTAGGGGGGGCATTTGATGTCTTACCTCTAATTGGCTCATGTGGGGTTGGTTTTTTTTTTAAATTTCCTTCATTATTGCTGTTTTTTTTTTCCATATCAAATAATCAAATGGGGAAGGAAAGTGACATGAATTCAAGAGCCTTCCCTCCTTCCATGCTTAACCACTTCAAAAGGGTTCGTTGTGGTCTGAGACCCTCACTCCCTAATTATGTTCAGCATTCGATGGCTGTGTAGATGAAAAATGTTATCTTTCAAAACCACCAAACACCTTAGAGTTTAAAATGACTTCTCCACAGGCTCTCTGTTATGGTGGGTGAGGGTATTTTTTTTTTCCTTGAACCACTCATGGGATCAATTTTACTGCTTTCAGTGGGACATGGTAGCTGTTAAGGAGTTCTGCCAAGTTAATTCCCATGCATGCCAGTCCGTCCACATTAGCCAGGGTCTAGGAGTCTACTTGAAACAACCAATTTGATAACCTAAAACATTCCCTACTTCATACTGAACACAAGTACGACCTAAAAAGACATTTAGGACTATTATTCAAATGATTGAATTATGCCACCAGCAGTATTGGTTGCATCACTAAGAATAAAAAATGTCTAAAAGTTTATTGTTATAATCAATGATAAAATAAAAATTATGATTAATAACTTAGTTTTTTTTCTGAAATATGGACTACAGTTTTCAGAAGTATGTTTTAAATTTTGCAGGCCACCAAGATGGGTACACTTATGGGTGTGTACCTACCAACCATTCAGAACATTTTTGGTGTTATCTTGTTCATCCGTTTATCTTGGATAGTTGGAATAGCAGGAACATTACAAGCTTTCCTCATTGTCTTCATTTGCTGCTGTTGTGTAAGCATTCATCCATAATGGAACCATGCATCTTCATCTATTTTCACAATAAAGTGAAATTTGAACATTATCGTTGGTAGTGATTTTACCTACTAGCAAACAAATCTGAAAATGAGCAAAGATAAGGATG